CTTCATGAGGTACTTTGTTATGGACCACATTACCGCTTAACACTTTCTGTTTTTCCTGATCTTACTCTCTTTGTGACTAAAGTGGTATTGATATGTTTTAAGCCACTGCAGGACAAAACCCTGCAGCAGTACTGCGGGTATTTTGATGGAGAAAATTTCATGAAAATTAAGAATTAGAAGGTAAAGTTTTGGTTTTGTTCAGATTTTTCACTGATGTGTTATCAACATGAAGGCCAATAATGTATTAGTATCATTTCTTTGTTTATTTATTATGATTCAAAGAGTGAGGTTTATGTTTACAACATGATAAGATTGAAAAATAAACATTTYAAATTAGAACTATAGGAGGATTTAATTATACTGTAAAATAGCATCACTAAGACAAAACAGTCATTACTTGAACAAGTCTGGGAAACCCTTTGTTTTTAGTATTTAAACTAACAGACACTGTTTTCGGATGAGGGAATTTCAAAAGTGATGCAGTCAAAGAGGATGACAGCAACACGGCATTTTATACGTACACGAAAAATGCTTTTATTTGAACTACTTCAAGAATCTCGAGACTCATAAATATCTAGTAGTTTTGTATTTTTTCGTCTCCCTTAAATAGAAAAAATATATATCTGAAACTATCATAAAAATTTGCTGTTGTAACCACCTTGAATAAAGCTGACTCCAAAAGTTAAGAAATTGTTGTTCTGTGAGTTTCATGAACATTCATCCAGTCTTGGTAAAAAACACAAGAACAAGTTATTTGGCCTTCGATGGTTGGTGATAATAAGTAAAACTAGATACAGCATAGTAGTAATATACACTCACCGGCCACTTTATTAGGTACACCACGCTAGTAACGGGTTGGACCCTCTTTTGCCTTCAGAACTGCCTCAATTCTTCGTGGCATAGATTCAACAAGGTGCTGGAAGCATTCCTCAGAGATTTTGGTCCATATTGACATGATAGCATCACACAGTTGCTGCAGATTTGTCGGCAGCACATCCATGATGTAAATCTCCCGTTCCACCACATCCCAAAGGTCTCTATTTAATTG